TAGGCAATAGCTAGAGGCGGAATAGGGATGGCAGTCACGCTTCGAGAAACCGCTGCTGTTTCTGCAGCCAAGTCCCCACCTGGTCTGACAAGAATTATTATTGGAAGCTGGCAGATGAGGCTTTAGAGAAAAGCTACTAAAACTGGAAATTGAAAAATGTCTGTTTTTACAGGAAAGTCAGCTTCATAGAAAATCCCTGAAAGCAGTAGAAACTTTCTTCCATCATTAGTCAACTTGTGTGAAGAACTGCTTCCTATATAGAAAACAGGTAGCTCTGAAGGGACACACAGGACTGGAAAGCTCCGGAATGCATTTGCCCAAGGGAGCCTCCTAGTATGAGGACCTACTTCTGTCTGAATTTAAATGTTCTCTTGAGTAAGCAGTTCAGTAAAACTTGTATCAGCAACGTGCCGTCCCTATCACAAGACTGCTCTACTGTGAACTATGCAAACAGGAGCAGTACAATTGCATTCTTCCTGCAAGAGCAGAGGAACTCCCAAAGTAGGAGCCTTCAGACAAAACAGGCAGTAATGGACATTTTTAGAGTAATATCAAAGGAAAGAAATCAGTCATGGAAAAGCAAACAACAAAGTAGCTAGGACATCATTCTTTTTCCTTCCTGTAAACAAGGATTTTATTTATTTTTAGAGAGAGAGGAAGGGATAAAGAGAGGGAGAAAAACATCAGTGTGAGAGAGAAACATCGATTGGTTGCCTCTGGTAGGTGCCTGGACCAGGGACCAAACGGAAACCCGGGCATGGGTCTTGACTGGAAATCAAACCTGAGACCTTTTGCTTTGCATGATGACACCCAACCGAGCCACACGTCAGGGCAACTAGGACATCACACTGCAGGCTAGACTACCTCAAAAGGCTCTGTGCCACAGGAAGCCACGACATTGTTTCTACTCTGACAGGAATGAGGAGTCATTAAGACATTTGAAGGTATTCACATGAGAGTGTTCACCCCAGAGGTCGAAACAATAGGTCCAGTGCTAGCAGTCGGAATGCTGCTCTTTCCTCCTGAATGGGATGGCGAGCAACTTGGGACCAAGCAAGAGGAGCTCTTATTTTGACATATATATTTTTTTCTCTGAGAGGAGTTCTTTTGTTAGGTAAAACAAACAGTTCAGTTTCTGAATGTAAAGCAAGTAACACATTTTGCCATGTATAATGTGCACTTCTTTGCCCAAATTTTTTAGGGAAACATAAGGGTGCACATTATAGATGGGTATAATGAATACATACCATGGATATAATAATGGGTATAACAGTCCTGTGTATCGTGTGCACAAAAACATGGGCATGCATTATACACGGCAGAATGCAGGACTCCCAAAGACTGGTGGAATGTATCCTGCAGTATCAGGATCCCTGAATGACCACCAGAACTTGTGCGTCATTAACACCTTTTACACTAAAAAACAAGCCATACTTCTGTGTATATATCATCATATGTCCTGAGACATGTCAGGATCCATTCACAAATTTCCCTTAGGTAATATGCTGGGAAAGTCACCCTTATACTCTGTGTGAAAAGTTGAAACGTAGGTCTGTATCTCAGCATTAAAGGTTACATAAGCACTATTAGCTTGCAAATCACGCCCTGGTACCTGTCTGCTATGTGCAAGATGTGCTTTGAAACGTGTTAGTGACAGCTTGGCATCACCCACTATTCTCCCACTGTCAGGCGCCGCCCCCCCCCCGCCGCCCCCCCCCCCCCCCCGCCCTGAGGAGACAGGACTAACACTGGCATTTCAGCTCCAGCTGCCCCGGTAGGTAAACCATGGGTCCTGGAAAGGAAGGACAACCAGGAGTCAGTGGAACCCTTAAAGCAGGTATGCCCCGACCAGTGGCCTTCTGGAGGCCCACAGAAGTCATATAAAGTTCCGTATTTACCTATTTTCTAGCTAATAGCTAGTATAAACGTAGGCTAGGAAAAAATATCTAATTTTAATGAAGTTTGGTTACAAAAAGAGTCCCCATTTCAAGACAAAATCTACAATAAATCAAGCCCAAATCAACCTAAGCGGGCTCGCCGGCTGAGAGCTGAACTGCCCCCCACCCCCCAAAGGCCCACACTGCTCGGGAGCAGGTCACTTGTGCTGTGTAGGCTCCAGAGTGGTGAGCGGGCTGGCGTCCAGACCGTGTGTGCCTTTACCCATAGTAGGTGGGATTCCATTTCTTTTGAGTTGAACATTTAATGACAGGTGCTGTAGCCAGGAATAGTGAACCAAGCTTCTTAACAAATCATGTTCTTCTTGGCATTGGACCAGGCGCACTCTCTGACCTACATGTCCCATAGCTGCAGTGAAGGCTTCCTTCTCTTCCAGCTGGCTCAGGACACTTCTAGGCTACAGAACAAATCTGCAAAAGATCTGGATTCTCAAAAGATAGGCAGCTATACAAAGTGCTGGCAGTGGAAAGTGGGTGGGAGTAGATGCTTTGCTGTCTGGCTCTAGAAGCCAGGGCTTACACTTGTAATCCTAAGAGGTGATCATAAATTTTCCCTTTAAAACTCAAATAGAGACTCACAGTCCATGTGCAGGCTCGAGAGACAGATGGTGGTGGGTCCAGGGGCCGGGAGGCGGACTACTCTCTACAAGACTCCCTGACTTTAAAACCCATGCCCTGGGCAAATGGCCGTTGAGCTGACCCCTGCTCTTATTCTGTCCTCTGGCTACTTTCAGATGCTATGGTTCCAAGATTATGTTCTACAATAATTGCTCATTTGTCTTGCCAAGGTAACAGCTGCTTCCCATCACTTTATTAGCAAACTTGACACATCTGTAAGTTAAATTTTTTTGTTTTTATTGTTGACACTACTACAGATGCCCCACATTTCTCCCCTTAACCGCCCTCCCCCAAACCTCAACCCTGGCCTATAACACATTGCTGTGTCCATGGGCTACTCACCAAAATCTTTTTAAAATTAAAAAAAAATTTTAATTGATTTTAGAGAGAGGGAGGAACAAAACACAACACAAAACATCAGTTTCTTGTACGTGCCCTGACCGTGGACCAAACCCGCAACCTTGGATTATTGGAACCATGCTCTAACCAACTGAGCTACCTGGCATTAAAATCTTTTAATCAAGTGTAGCTAATTAGAGAGTGAAGGCATACAGTATTCTGAATATCAAAGTTAAGTAAGCCTAAGCCCCTGAGCATAGTATGAGTCACACCTAATTTTAAGTTTTGGTTATTCCTGAATTTACATGTTCACATAATTTTAAGATCAGTTCAACCAATACTATGGTTAAGTCCTGTTGAGATTTTAAAAATAGGATTGAATTCTTTACAATATTAAGTCTTCTCATTCATAACCAGAATGACTCTCCATTATTTTTATGTCCTTTTATAAAATTTTATCTTCTCCAGCAAGACTAGGAAATTTGTTAGGCTTTTTTCCAGGTAACCTTTTTTAGAAACTGCTATTTTGAGTGGTATCTATTTTCCTCCCATAAAATTTCCCAACTAAATATTGCTATTATCTGTTTGTATATTAATTCTGTATTCACCTTTTTGAACTTTCTTCATTGATTCTGATAGCTTGTCAATTTCTTTGATCTTCTAGGTAGAGCATCTTTCTTACAAATAGTAAGATTTATTCTCACTTCTATATATATATAAAAATGTATCATTACTTTTTTGTGTCTTACTGCACTGGCTAGGACCTCCAAGAACATTGCTGAATAGAACTAGTAAAGGCTATTCTTCTTTGATATCCACAATGGATGTTTAATATTTTACCACCGAGTATGACGTTGTTTATCTTTTAACAAGTTCAGGAATTTCTAGGTTGATAAGCTATTTATGTTTCTAATAAAAAAATAGTATGGAAACCACGACTTACTCCAGTTTAAAATGATTCCTCTTGAGGAACTTATGATTAGAGGTAAGTATGTCACTGCTCAATGTTATTGGTCTTACTTTGGTACCCATGAAGAGCAGAGCCAACCCGAGATGACCACCACACACCACAGCCTGCTCATCTCTGTTACACTGATATTAATAATATAAATAATATAACATAAAGATATTATTAAGTTCCTTCCCAACCCTCCACCTATTTTGACTTATATCTTCCTATTTTCCCCTAACTAAACTATTTTATTGCATGAATCTCCTGTCAATTTCCACAAATCTGTAATAGAATGAGATGCTGTATTAATAAATCTTTTAAAAAGATGTGGCTACATTTGGATTTAAAATTAAGAATGAGACAAATAGGATATGGGCAGGAAGATACGGTAGGACCTTTACATAACAAACCCATTAGTTGTCATGAAATCACATGGAGACCTAACACTGTGGTTAGTCTCCTGGGTGGCCATATGAATCAAGTCTCAGAAAACATTTGGAGTTGAAATGAATTCTGTGGGGCGTGAGGAGTCTTGTCCAGAGTAAATCTAGTAGTTAAATGAGGCCTGCTTATACTTAACATTGTTAATCTTAATTACTTGTCGTTAAGTAGCCATTGGTAAACACATTTTAATTTCAGAGAATGAAGAGAATTCAGGAGCCATTAACATTTTCAGCAATAGGTGCTTAATAAAAGTTTGTTGAATGTACTACCCCAGGCCATTTCAAATCCTTTTTAGAAGGCATCAAGAAAAAATGATTACACGTATCTTATAGTTGAGGGATCAAACTAAAAAATAAATATTCCTCTCAACAAAAGTGTAAATAAGACCCATAATTTCTGACTTTATTGTCTTTGTCAGGCCTTGTACTATGACATATGTATTTCTGTAATTTAAATAAAAATCTCATTTCCTTTCTCTCTATAGGACTCTAAAATGTACAAGATGGATAAAGAATTTTAGGAAACGGATTACATTATATAAATAGGTTACATTATAGTTCCCATACGGTTTGCCACTGTCCCATAACCATGCTTTCAGAAAGACAAATCTTTAATAAGAGTTAAATTTATGAACATCTTAAAATAACTTGAAAGGTAGTAAAAAAAGGAATAAAATACACAAATAACAAAGATTTTGCTAATATGCACACTGTGAGTCCATTTAAATCTGGCATATCCAATCACCTTCATTGATTTATTTAATGTGGTAATATTTTTAAAAATGCCATTGAGGGATGAATGATACATTTTTGCCCTTGACAAGGTGACAGGTGTGATATTGTTGTGGCTTAGAAAGCAAAATATAATTCCTGGGTATATTACTCTTCTGGCTCATCAAAGCTACAAAAATACGTGACGTTCTTCCACGTCCAGTGAGGTCAGGCAAATGTAACAGAAGGCGAGCCGGGTAGACACACATTCTCATCATATAGATTTTCCGGTAGTTCCTCTTCATCTCCATCAGGAAAATATGTGGGGAATGGCAGATTTTTACAGAAATCCTTATATGCAGGTAATTTAGAATCTCTGATCTGGGGGGAGGAAGCAAAGATATTATTAAGTGTTACCAATTAATTAAGTTACTTAAAGATGACCTGTTTTCCTTTTCATCATCAAGGAATATATGTTCCTATATTTTCTAATATGAATAATGCAACTGTTATAAAGTTAAAGGAACTCAATGTATTCTTTTTACTTATAATTTTAATTAATCCAATGATAGAAATATAATCTTCCTCAAGTTAATCAGTTATCTCCTAAGAAAATTAATGATTATTAATTTATATCTTATCCATAACTTATAAATCGTTAGAAATGCCCAAGAGGGCAAATTATAGTCTATTAATTACTAGTTAAGTAACATGCATCCAAATTAATTTTTCAAATATAAAGATCTGATATAAACTATATACCTAAAAGGTATTACTATCTACTTCTCAATTATAATTATCTATTCATATTGTCTATTTTTGTTATTTTATGTCATAGATTTTTGAGCTGAAGTTAAAAACAGTTTACCTAGTATTTTTATTAGCCTTAATTCTAAGAACACATAATTGAAAATATCATTAAGGATATTAGCTTACATTTAACAATTAGCATTCTCATTTAAAAGCTAAGAACAGAGTAGTATTTAGCAAAAAAAACCCCACACAACTCCTAAGTTTATATCTCTATTAACTCTTTATATTTGAAAATATTCTATTGTGAATCCATAAGCCAAGGAATAATCCAGATACTGATACAATTTAAAAGGTTGGGTTTTGTTTTTGGAAAATAGCTTTGGGTTTTTTAAAGCTTCTGACTTACTCTATATACAGTCTTCGGAGAGGAATAAAAAAAATTACATATAATTAATTATACACAGAGTAAAATAAGTCAATCATTTTGGCAATAAGAAATGAATAATTTGGTTGAAATAAGTACACAGCTTCTAGGAATAGCTAAGTAAGAAAAACATATCTATTTTAATCTCTCTCATTAAAATGATTCCCAAAAATTATCGGTAAGTTGCCCAAAAGAAAATACACATTTCTTTTCCAACTAATCTTGGATTGACCTTTAACTTGGAGAAAAAAAGGTCATACTCTTACCAATTCAAACTATCTCAGAATTTAGAATTGAAAATAAAACTGAATAAACATTAAAACCAACAATAAAACTTTCTGTTAATGTGATAAATGTAAACATTTATTCATAAATGATCTAAACAGTGAATTCTCATTTACTTTTACACTTTCATAAATTTATTATATCTGAGGAACATTTCAGACAAGTGCACTGCTTAAATATGATCACTGTAAATGCTACTGTACTGTAATTCATTGATTACAGAAATCATGAAAGTATCTCTAGAACTGAGGGTCAGAAGCTCGCAGCCCACCTTTAACAATGTGCAAGACTCCATGGTAGGCGCTTCTGTGCACTGAATGTTACCCCTGGCTTTCCTGCCTTCCCCAAGACCCCCTCAACCATCTACCCTCATTCTTTATATAGTCATGGATATTGGCCAATCAGTTCAAATCCTTTGAGGAAAAGTGGAGGCTCGGGCACACACAAAGAACGAAGCACACTTGACAATCAAATTATAAATTAGGATACAGGAGTGAGCACACATGAGTGGTATTTAATAACATAAACTACATTATGCTGTAAACAGTTCTTTAGGCTTTCTTGATACATTTAGTGAATCCAAACGACAATAAAAGCTTACAGTAATTAAACAGGTTGGTCATTCCTAGGACTATCTTTAGTAATTTTAGAATTACAGAAAATGTTATTGGTAGCCCTGTACTCGGAGGGAGCAAAAGCTCCTGTGGGGTGAGTGGACATTGGCGAGGCTGACTTTTGGGCAGGGGGGGGCCTCCTTCCACGGGCAAAGGGACTTCCTCACCTGTTGTGCAATCACCTGGGGGAATGGGAAAAAGCGGGCTGAGTGCTTTCAAAAGATGTGCCAAACTTTTAACATTTAAAGCACAAGCCCACAAAATACCCCTTCAAACCTACACCTTAATGTTTGGGGCAGACATTTAAGGTTACAAAACAAGCTGAATTGGTACCATAATTCAGACTTTCCCTCCAAGATGAGTTCTTTTTGTAATCAAAATGTTTGTTGAAAATATAATCACTAGTGTATTAATAGTTCAAAGTGGACCGGACATTTCTCTGCTGCTATAGTTTCTCAAAATATATCTGGATTCCCCCATCGGAACCGCCTCTGGGGTACCTCCTGACTGTGCACAGTGACAGCAGGCTATCGTCCATTAAGAGAGTTGAGTTTTTAAAGCGATCTTTTATTCAAGTGGATGAAAAGTCTGAGTAATAAATGTTGTTGATTATGAACTGTTTCTAACAGCCAGATCAGAAAATCACTGCACATATTATGGTTTTTCAAGCCAGCTGACCTATTCACCCCTGCTGGTGTCCAAGAGGATGCCGAGCGGGCGCCTGGGAAGCCGCGGCAGCAGTAGGGTGCAGCTGGAAAGCCAGCCTACACTCGTGGGCGCTGCAAGAGGGAATACGCAGGGTCCGGCCAAAGAAACGCCTGCTGGCGTGTGGTCGGCAGGGTAAGTAGTATGGGTGTAATAATTTAGTTTTAATTTGAACATTTCACCTAACATGTCATATGGTGTACTTCAGTGTGATATGATGTTACAGATTACATGCTTATGTTTTGTAGTAAAAGATTTTGTAAAAAGGGGCATTGTTTGTGCTGGACCTTGTAAGGCTTTGACAACATAAAAAAAATTCTCCTGCTATCCAGTAAAATTTTATTATGGAAAATAGTCATTTTCCTTTTTTCTTTGTAATAAATCTGGAATGTGGAGGAAGGAATACATTGAATTTTGAAGCCAAAATATCATGAGGAATACAATGACAACCTGCTGGCTTCAACTACCTGTCCTTGTAGTCATTTGGAGAATGGGTTGCGTGGAGACTGGAAACCTACTTAAGCCTAAACACCTGCAATCTTAAAAAAGAGAAAAAGGGATATTGCTAATATTCGTCAAATACTTTTTTTTTAAGAAAAATGAGAATAATCCAGTCAAAAAATAAAAAGTGGCAGAAAGGGAATTATAATTACTGTAAGATGGAAACAGATATTGTACCTTGGGCTAATAATAGAACCAACTTTAAGAAATACAAAGCACACATAGAAAGAGACCCAATACGAAAAATCTTAGGTTTAAGTTTCAACCGACTTTTGTTGTTACTGTTAGAAAATTAATGAATATATTTCTATGAATAGCTATTATTACTTTTACTATTGTACAAGTTTATTTTCAGAATGGAAGATTTAAAATTCAAGTGGTCTATCACTTTGTATTATATCTGCTTAAATCCTGGGCAGAACATGTAATTTGTGTTTTATTTGATAGAAATAAGTCTCTGAGAGCTCAAGTTTTTCTTCGAATCTATTCTGTACAAAATGTTTTAAGTTTTTGAATATAAAAATTAACATGCATATGTTCAGGAGAAATACTTAAAAGCACAATCAGAGCAACGGTAGTAATAACAACAACAGGTTTTTTTCCTTAATATGTCTACCTTTAATCACCTTTCTTCTTGACTCATTTAATTTCCACCTCCTGTGTTACTGATATTTTGGCAACAGTATCCTAATCTCCTTTTCATATTCCTAAAGGGCCTCCGCTTACTGGTCTTGCCATTTTTGCAGGTTCATCATTTTATAGACCTACTATAGGTTATTTTGTGCAATTTGTTTAGCTCAGGTGCTACTAAAAAGCAAAAAGAAAAAAAAATCAGCAAAGAACTCCTGGAAAAACAGCCACTAATTTTCAAGCTACACTTACAGGTTAAAGGAGAATATTCTTCACATCCACATACATGAACAATGGAAAATAAAGCCAGCTAAACATACCTTTACTAAGCAATTTCTATGTCCAGGTACAGAGCCATTTACATAGATTATATTGTGCTTTGTGTTTATTCTCCACACCTAAAGCAAGAAATAAAAATCACACTTTAAAAGTTAAAAATTTGAGAATATATAACATGTATACAGTTCATGTATTCTCTATGCCTTAATAACTGTAAAATCTATTAGAACAATCATTAAACTGAACAAACAATAATTAAACAGACACACATTAAATGCATACTTTTGTGCCTTTGCATTTAGGCATTCATTTAATCGTTCCTAAAAAGAGTCACTTCAAAAACTTACTTTCAGTCCATATTCCGTCCTATCAATGTTTCCCATCTGTCCCGGCATCTTAGTTCCAGGCCAGACTCTGGCAACATCCTTAATGAGAGAACCGAAATTAGCACTTGTAAGTACTCTCGATTTCAATCAGTTCTGATCAAAACAAAATGTAAACTAAGAGAGGAGTTATTAAAATGTTTCATACTCCCCCATCCCCATTCTGCTAGGCCCCAGTAAAGAACTAAATATGGATTTAGGCGCATTCACCACAGTAAGGGTCATCTAATCTAAATCAGATTAGAACACCAAAATAAAGAGACTAAGAACAGATTTAGGGGAAAACTGAAGCAACAGGAGAGCAGCAACTGTGCTAATACTGGTTGAGAACTTAAAAAAAAAAAATAATAAAGGACAGACAAACATGTCACACCACCAAAGAAACCATTAACTGCCTGGCCTGCCTGCACTAACCTTAATGCACTGTGTTAACGGGTGTGACGGACCCCTCCGCACTGCCGCTGCTGGAACGGCCCTCCTGCGCCACCCTCGCTTTTGATGCCACCTTCCTTCCCCGGCATGATTAAAGGACAGCGTTACCGGAATACTGAGTCTGGTTGTCCAGCCCTGGCTGTCTCTGACTCACATAAATCAAAAACAGCTTCACACAGTCTCTCTGACTTTGGCTTTGATAGTGGGTAAGAACTTTACATCTAAAGCAAATCTGAATCACATTAAAATGGAAAAGGCTCTCATAACACATGAATTCTTGAAAGATAAAAACCTTTGCATCACTACTCTCACAATAACAGGCAAAAGTCCAGGAGAGCTTAAAAGACAATTCTGAATATTACAGACGTATCACTCTTATTCATTCTATATTTATTCTAGAAATACATTCTGTGACAAGCACCTTGCTTAAGAACATTACGTTACTAAAAAAAGACTCTGCCACCCCCCAACTAAATTTACTCCCCTTAAAAGTGTACCCCAGCTCCTAGGATTGTAAAGGCATTCACTCACTAGCTAACCCTTACTGAAAGTATTATTTACAAACATACAACAGTATATTACATGACAAATAACTAACTTGAGTTATAATAGGTTCTTCCACATGCCTAATTTTCAAATGAACTTTATTGATATAATCCAAATACCACACATTTCACTCTTTTAAAGGGTACAGTTTAATGTTTTTCGTATATTCAGAAAGCTGTGTATTACCATAATAAATTTTAGAACATTTTCCTATACCCTTGCCAACATTTGTTATTGTCTGCTTTTTAATTATAGACATCTCACTGTGGTTTTGATTTACATTTTTGTAATGGCTAAAGATGTTAAGCGTCTTTTCATGTACTTATTGGACATTTGTACATTTTTTTTGGGGGGGGGAGTCTATCCAAGTCCTTTGCCTATATTTAATTGGGTTATTTGTTACTACTGAGTTCTGAGAGTTCCTTTTCATTTCCTTGATGGAACTGTGCAGCACAAAGTTTAAACTTTTGATGAAGTCTACTTTATCTGTATCTTCTTCTGTTACTTGTATTTTTGGTGTCATATATAAAGTTCTGCCATACCAAAGGCCATGAAGATTTACTCCTATGTTTTCTAAAAAGAGGTTTTAAGCTCTAAAGTTTGTTTATGATCTACCTCACTTTTATAACTTTTTATTTTTATATAACTTTTATATTTATAAAAAGTTGCAAAAATAACACAAAAAACTCTCATATTCTTTACTCCAACATACAGATTATTTTTGGGCTGCCCGTCTGCTTCATCATTCACTCTCTGTGTGCACAGCTCCTGTATCATCTAAAATTTGGTGGCAAACATGTTGTTCCGTTACCTGTAAGTATTTCAGTGTCTATTTCCTAAGAACAAGGATAGTCTCTCACAGAACCACAGTAGAATTATGAAACTCAAAAAATTTAAAACATCATCTAATCTACAGTTCATATTCTAATTTTGTCAACTGCCCCAATAATGTTCTTTATAGCTGTTTCTCCCCAAGTTCAGAATCCACTTCAGAACTGTATATTATACTTAATTGTTCTGTCTCTTTACTTTCCTTAAATCTGGAGTAGCTTCTCAGCCTTTCTTTGCTTTTCATGATCCTGACATTTTTGAAGGCTCAAACCAATTATTTTGTAGAATATCACTCACTTTGGGTGGGTGTAATGTTTCCCTGTGATTAGATGCACTTTTGATGGAATCACTATAGAAGTGATGTGTTTTTTCCCCAGAATCTGATTGGGAGGCATGTTATGTTGGCTCATTCAATCACTGATGATGTATAAAATTGATCAGTTAGTGAAGGATGTGCTCACTGGGTTAATCCACTCTAAGGTATTATTTTTCCTTTGTAATTAAGAGGCAGTTGCTTTGGGACTACGTAAATAACTAGTCTCCATCGAGCTCTCACCACTTGTTTTGGCATTCACTGATAACTGCTGTCTCAATAAATTATTCCTATGATGCTATCAAAGTGAAATTCTAACTCCATCATTCCTTCTACATTTATTAGTTGAGATTACTCTGTAAGGAAGAGCAGTCCCTTTTCTCCCACTTGTTTATTAACCTATCCATTTTATTTATTTGTATCAGTGTGAACTCACTGATTCTACGTTTATTTCATTTTTTAAGTTTTCAGATCAAACGGTGCCAATTTTTGCAAGTGGGAGCTAATTTTAGCTGGGCCCTGGGTCCTTTTCATGAGTCATAATTTTTAAAGCACTGCCTTGATTTCTTAACAAGCTGGATTGTGTTCATCCTGTATTTTTCCTACCCCATGCAAGAAATCAGTCATCTCTCCAACAAGCCCTAGTTCCTTTTATTGGGGAATGCTGTTTAGAAACCAAGGTCCAAGCTCTAGGTGTGCTCATTGCTATGGAATATCTCTGCCTTTAGGTTCTTTCAGCAGCTAAAACATAAATATATATACACCCATATACATATCTATATCTCTTTCTTTACATAAACATACAGTAAATATATACTGATACCTATCAACACTATAAGGTTCATTTTAATTCCCTTCCCTTTCATAACTTAATATCCTTCTCTAACAGTGAGAAACTTAGCTCCCATTATCCATATATTTACCTACCTATTCAATCCTATGATTCACAGAAAATTATTTCAGAATAGCTACCTAATACCATCAAAAATAAACAAAATTAGGATTCTACACTTGTGCACAGTACATTTTAAATTTAGACTCAGGGTATAGACCCAAATACTGTGCTCAAAAGTTATTTGAGTTACTCCCCACCGCTTTGGTGAGGTTATGTTATTCATCTGAAACAGGTTCATCTTCCAATTATATTCCTTTGTGGATCCTCCCCTTTTTATTTTGAATATGTAAAACATTAACATGGTTCCAAATAGAAAAAGTAAAACAAAAAGAGCATATCCAGGGAAGTGTCGCTCTTGCCATTTTCAAGCCCTTCCACACTGTTCCCACGCACCTCTTGTAAGTAACAAAACTCATTAGTTTCTAGATTATCCTTTTGGTCTTTTTTTTTGGAAAAATAAGCAGGTAACATGCATTTCCTTATATCCTGGAAATAACTCCATCATTTAGAAATGACCTTCTCATTCTTTTTTCAGCTGCATAGTACTCTTGAGTAGATGTACAATCTCATACTTTATTCATCCAAATTCCCAGGTATGGACATTTATACTTGTAATTACAAATAAAGTTGCAATGACTAGTTTTGTGAAAATGCATTTTTATATTTTGGGGGAGAATATCTTTAGGGTATAGTCCTGGAGGCAGGACTGCTGTGTGGCTCTGTTCTATACTGCCACATTCTCCTCCATATAGGATGCACTATTCTGTATTCCCACTCGCAATGCATGAGAGTGCGTTTCCTTACATTCTTACTAATAGGGTGATAAAAATCAAAGACTTCGTAACACAACCTGCTACAGAAGAAATTAGCAACTCCAGAGTACCTAATCTGTATTCCTTTTATGAAAGTAGAAATATTTCCAATTAACCCTGATACACATACATACACTATACATATGCACATACATCAAGCTTTAGAGATTAAACTTGCATTACTTTGACCCTCTAAAGATACTTCCCACCCCCTGCTCTATCACTTTATGCTGTATCTCTGAGAGAGTAGAAGGGAAATAGCAATACAAAGATCCTTCTCCATTTCCTATGCACTTATTGTTTATTTCCCCATTTCTTTATCACTTTCTCTTGCACCATTACACTGTCCCTGATGATCTTTCTCAACTGTCTTTTAAGGGGAAAAAGAAAATCTGTGAAGGAACCAGTGTGGCCAGATGAAAGGGCATTCTAATCCCTGACTTCTTGGTGCTGACTTCAGAGTGTAGAATGGGAGTCAGAGATGCGAATGAGAGAGTAGACAGAAAAATATTAAGAATACTGACTGTAGACACATAGGGTATAACTAAACAATTCAAGTCAGCGGCTGGAAAGTAACTAAAGCCAGGACTCATAAGACTGTGACAAGTACTAGGACCCACCGTGAGTCAGATTAGTATTATGTGGCTTGATCCCAAGAACAGACTAAAGCACAATATGCACAGAGGTTGAGTATTTAGCGTTAAGGAAGGCATCACTAAGTTGTACTTACGCCAGTTGAAATAGCTCCAGGTCTCCTGTGAGTTTTCGTCTGACCATGTGTAGCAGGCTGGCCTTTAAACCCCCATCGTTTCATGACACCTTGAAAACCTTTACCAATACTGAACACAGTAAACATTAGAATTTACATAATGAACAGAGCATAAAATACTTTCAATTGTACACTTTCTTGATAGTACCTTAGAGTTTTAACAATGCTCCGTATCTGTAAAAGAACATTCCTTTATATCTGACCTGGTTAGCAAAAGTACCAAAATTTATTGGAGAGCAGCTACAAGTAATTAATTCAAGATTGTGAGACAAGGACCAGCTAAGCGAAGGGAGTTCAATCTGAACAGGGAGTTTTATCATCATAATCCTATGAAAACAACACAGTAAGAGTGGTAAATTTCTCTAGGTTCCAAAGTACTCACAAGAGATATGGCAGGCAACCATTACCATCCCCACACCTCCTGGTACCCATGCCTGAAGTAATCACGTCCTTTTGAGTCCGGGTGGACCCAGCAACTCACTTCTAAGGAATAAACTATGGCAAAAGTGTGAGATGCCACCTCTTGCTTGACAGGTTCTGAAGAAAGCCAGCTATTCTATAGCGAGTCAAGAGGCAAGGATGTCTCCGGCTAACCACTGTGTACCCAAGGCTTGGCAGAGCCACGTTAGTGAGCTTGCAGGCAATTCTCCTACGTCGAACCTTCAGACGGCTACGGCCTTGACTGATGCCATGGCTGCAGCCTGTGAGATCCTTTAAGCCAGGGGAACTCAGCTGTTTCATGGGATTCCTGCCCACAGAAACTGTGACGTAATAAATACTTGTTGCTTTAAGCTGTTATGGTTTGGGGTATCCAAACTTTTGGTGTCTCTGGGCCACAATGGAAGAAGAAGAGTTGTCTTGGGCTACACATTAAATACACAAACACTAATGAAAATTGATGAGCAAAAAAAAAAAAAAAGTTTCAAGTAAATTTATAATTTTGTGTTGGGCTGCATTCATAGCCATCCTGGGCTGCATGTGGCCTGCAGTTGGACACCTCTGGTACTTTGTTAGGCAGCAATAGAAAATTAATCCAACAGAACACTATATAAACCAATAATGCCCTGACTCCTGAATGTTTTACTATTAGAAGATATCATATGGATATTGGTTTCAAGGGTTGAACAGGAAGCTAATGAAAAAAGAAAATCAGAGAGTATTAATTTCTTAAAGTGTAATATTTCATTTTTTAAATAAAACCATTCTATTTTCAAAGTCTTCTAACTAGAGGAATATTCTGCCATGCAGATGGAAAGTGAACAATACTAAGATTCAAAGCATTATAAGTCTGTTGCTGATTGTCAAATATATCATTACAAATTATACAATGAAAAGGATACAATAAATTGTAAGCGGTACTGGACATATTTTAATAGACTCTCAAGATGAACATTTTTTAAAACTTTCATTAGTTCTATGTCAACATATTTTTAATGTCATGTTTCCTAACCCTAACAAAGCTTGCTATTTTTAGATAGACAGTGAATAGTTCAGGCATTTACAAAAAAAGACCAAAAGCAAAAGATTATAAAAACCACCTTATTTCCACAAGGACTTTGTTATGAATTTAACAAAGAGTTATCAGAGAGTAATGGATTGAAGTAAGCCCATATGTATAATAGTTTGTTTTAGATAAACCAAGAATTCAACATAAACACAGTATAAATGATATATAGAACCTGACAGCTGAACATTATCAAATCACAAATCAAAAGTTATTTGTATAGGAACAATTTAAATGTAGCTTACACCACTTTCTTCATATTAATCAACTGGACAAATCACTTAAGATGTATAAATAATTTTTTTGCCTCAAAAACTCAAAATAATGCTTATTCCTGAGACAAGAGCTAAAATGAAAGTTTAACATTAAATAAACATTATATTAAATAAAACTTGCAAGATTACCATTTAAGAAGAAAAACTATGACAATCAAATATTTTACTGAAATTTTTCTTTAAAAACAGTATTTTCATTTAACACGAGTTTAGAAAATATTTGAAAAATAAAAATGTTGGCAATTTAAAAATAAAATGGAAATATCTGGAGTCATTTGAACCTAGGACGCTGTTTGGCAAATAACACTTTAAATAAAAAAGGGGAGGAGACTGGCAACACTAAATCTAAAATGAAGATGTTTTAAAAATATCATATTCTAACACTGGCCATTCTTGGTAGAAAGTTTACTGGTGTCTTCTGAGCTCTCAAACTGATTCATTTCTTACTTAAAAAGAGAGCATGAGTGTGCCCCAATAACACACATGCCAGGTAAATTACAGATTATTTAGCTCATTTTGAGAGTAAATGTTTATAAGATGAAAATGGTATCCTGAAAGTGCTAATTATCTGTCAGCTAATTACAGACTGTCTTTTAATCTAGCTTTAGGGTACACCATGTTGTTACACTGTGTACAATGGGAACCTCTTCAATAAATAACTTTTAAACAAAAGGACAAAACACAAATGACATGACAAATTATTGGCTTAATTCAGATGATATGATGGAGAATAGAGTGCACCTGTTGATCCATGGGTGGTACAGGTATCTATTCTATTGCTTCTCTCAGATGCCATCCAACTTGAGAGCAAAACAAAAGAAATGAACTAATCTATACTTAGCATACCCACGCACATTTCAAGTATAAGGTTTTCACAGTTCACATAAAATATGCCTCGCTTTACTAGAAATGATACACAACACAAAGCACACATACTTTGCCCCCGCCCATGCAGTTTTTAGTTAATGACAGCAGAAAAAAAAGATCAAGGAAAATTCAAATTAGAACATAATGTTAAAAGTCCTGAATTTAGTGAAACATCTGACAATTAGAAAAATAAATGTTTTATTTAGAGCATTTGTACTTGTTAAAGCAAGAATTCATTCAAAAAACTCAGAAATACTATGAAATTTAGGAGACTTTATTGCCCTGTTTCTTGGCCTATTTCCTTGATATACTTTAAATTCATGAAGCGCAAGCATTGTGTATTATCTAATTCTAGTGCTCAACCCAGAGAAGTTAGAGTAATTCTGTTACTGGCATTAGCTGTGTCTTAGGAAAAAACATGATTAGTTTTCTTAATTTTGCCCTGTAGTTTCCAAATGTTGTGTAACAGGCATGCCTTTCATAAAAGTTGAAGCAGATGGTGTTAAAAGAAGAGGGACTTAAAGATATGACTGTAAGAATCTTGCAGAAGAGAATGCATAATTTAATGTTTCCAACTGCACTCTATAAATCGCTTGAGATTACTAGCATGTGAATTTCATTCCCTTGCCATATTGTGACAAATGCCCAAATGTCTACCAGCAGACACACAGGTTTTTATACAAACCCATCATTATCTCCCCACTTTGTGGGAAAGTACCTTTGATTTCATGGTTCAGGACACACTTGCATACGGGGATAAAACAAAATGACCACGCGGTGAGGAGCGCTCTCAAGTCCCTCTGTTCTGAGTCCTCTGAGAACTTCCTCCAGATTTCTCATCACCGAGTCCTTCCGTCGCCACTGGCTTCCTCTACCTTCTCTCTCCTTTGTATTCCTTTTTTCCCCCCTTTCTCCTTTTTCTCGGGAAGCAAACTGCTTTTCCCTCTTCCATCTGTCACCTGCAATCGATTTTTCTCCAATTGTCTCTGGAACTCACTCTAAAGTAAACCCCTTTATTGCCAAATCCAAAGCCTTTTATTAAAATAACTTTTTATTATGGAAGTTTTAAAACATATTCAAAAGCAGAAAGACTAGTACAATGAATCCCTACATATCCACCCCCCAGGGTCAAAGAATTTTCAACTCAAGGACCATTCTGTTTCATCTATTTCCATCTCCTGCAACTCCACTGGATTATTTTTAAACTAATTCCACTTATCATGTCATTACATCGACAAGTATTTCAATATAGATCTCTAAAAGATAAGGATCCTTTTTAAAAACAAAACCACATAACAATCTAAAAAAAGTCATTCCTTAATATCAAATATCCAGTGTTCAATTTTCTACAGCCTCTTTTAAAATAGAAAAATTACCCTCTATTACTCCTTACCGCTTTCCCTCTGCTCCACCGGTCATCATTTTCTCCGCTTCCCTGCTTCCCTAAGGCTCTTTGAGGAGTTCCTTTCCCTTTACAGCTACAGGAAAAGATGTTCTCAGAGTCCCGCCTCTGACCCTCCTCTCGCTATAATCTGAACCAGGGGTGGCAAACTCTGGTCTGTAACTGGCCACTTGTTTTTGTAAATAAAAGTTTTATTGTAACACAGTCATGCACATTTTTCTTACTTATTGCCTACAGCTGCTTTAGAGCTCTAATGACAGAGCTAAGTAGTTGCAACAGAGACGACAATGCTTGTGAACCTATAACATTTACTACCTGGTCCTTTGAGAAAAAGTCTGCAGACCCCTGAAGCTGGAGCTCCACAAACTTGGCCCTCTGGCAAGAATTCTGCTGCATCCCATTCGCAGACGTAAGACCACAGGTAATCAGAAGTACCTCAGCCATTCAATCCTGGTGGTCCAGAAACAGAAACTGAATCCCCTCCCTCTCTTCAGATCTCGATCTCCTCCGTCTCCAAGACCACTAGAGTGAAATTCCTAAGATGATAAGCTTATCACACAAGCTGTCTCTTGCTCTAAAAAAACAAACAGCAATAACAAAAACAAGCAAATAACTAAACAACCTTAAACGTTCCCTAGCAATTTCTTTAGCTTGATGCATATACGGCCTTTGATAACTGGGTCCAGCCTACCTTTTCAAACACTGCCCGTTTCAGATCTACTCACAGCAGAGCAACCTGTGAAGCCCTGAACATGCCCTTCTGCCAGGCCTTTGCTCGTTCTCTTCCCTCTGCCTCCAACGCCCTTCCCACCGCACTGCCCCATCTTTCCCCTACTAGCATAAAAAAGAACGGAAAGTGTTATGAAATATTGCATCAGCTATAAAGTGTTTGATCTCCTTATTTAAAAAAAATCAAAATCTATACTGTAACTGGTTTTTCAATCCAAACCATTTCCAAATTATGATTGAATTTTCTCTCTTCAGCTGATTTTAAGTGACTTGTACATAACCTCTCAGAAAAC